GAGTATAAACACTCATTTAAAAATAAATCCAGATGTAGTTGGCTGCAGCAATCTGACAGGACCCTGATTCTCTCTTCAATAGTGTCATTCATTTGTACCCCATTAATTCAGGGTTCTTAATAATTTCTCCAGGGTAAGTCTGAAGTTTACTTCATTTTATCTGTGAAGAAAGGACCTACAGAGCAAAAGAATATTGTAAATAAGTTTGCTAGGGAACATTTAGCCTGCTTGAGAGGAAAGGCCATTTTCAAATGCCTTACTTGCATCTATTTGCATCCTAACTATCTACTGATTATGAGTGATTCTAGTCATTAAAGTAGTCCTAGGAGAATTCTTCTTGGTGATATTTTATTAGCATTTAATTTGAACAACTCTAATAAAACTCCATTTTTAGAAACTTGCCCATAATTCAATATTGTCACACATCTTCCTTCATATAAATTTGTTGTAAAGCTTTATTGTAATTACGTGTCCCCAAATCGCTTGCATATCATCTGGTACAATTACATCTTTCTGAAAAAGATTTTCCATTTTCCTTTAGTTTCTTAAGATTAAAGTGTCCTAAAACATAAATAGAATCTCTAAGGCTTAGACGTAGAGAGGAGCTACCTGTAAGAAACCAACTAGGGAGGAATGTAATTAGTTATTTCTACTCTGACTAGATTCCAGCCCGAGATAGAGGGCAACTGCTTCTTCTAAAAACTTTAGATTCCTGTAATTGCATAAATAGACTTTATTCATAAAACAACTTCTGTACCATGCTTGAGTTATAGTGAATACTAAGTACTTCATGAATTAAGGCATGAGCGCACATGTATCTTTTGGGTTTTCCTTTGTCTTTCGTGAAGACCCTTTTAATATCAAGAAGTCTGTATTATAATAGGAATTCTGCAAGAAGGTTGTATTGAAAGCAGTGTGTTCAACCCATTCATCCACTCATTTTTCAAACATTTTTGAGGTATACCTACTATGGATCAGCCTGACCTAGAGGGCAGAGGAAGTCCGTGCCTCTGCACATCTCACATTTAGCGTTCAAGCCACTTAACCTTTGAAAGTGACATTGATACATTGTACAGTCTTTGTCTCTTACTGTACTTTGAGTTGCTGTGTGCCTGGTTCAAATCCTGTTCTAGCCATCTCCTATGGTTATTGCCTTATGCCTAGCTAGACCACCAGTTAAAACAAAGCAGATCGTCTGGGCATAGCTCATCCCTCTTTATGTTTGTGTTTAATTTTTCACTTTGTTATACTGCTGTCACATTTTGAACATCTGCAATACTAGGGATCTGCACTTCTACATAAAGTAGCTTTGTACTAAAGGTAACACCTAATATTTTTATTGTTTATCTATGCTAGGCACTCTTCTAAGAGTATGTGTTAGCTCTTAGAAGAGTGCCTAGCATAGATAAAGCAAACAATGAAAAGCATGGGTGCATGCATCTAAGAGCATCCATGAAATGAGTCTATTTATTCCCATTTTACAGGTAAGAAAACTGAGTCACACAAGGATATATTTGTGTAACACAATTTCAAAAAGGCAAACTACAGTTCTTGTTAATGGTAAGGCCTTTTTGGCATCCCATATTTGTGAACTGTATCGATATGTTATCTCACTTGATCTGATACGTCCCTCCCCATTTGTTCACATCAAAGAAGTGAGACAGATGAAGGTGAGTTTGCTTTCAGCAGCTCTGCAGGTTAAGGACTGTACAGCGCTTGAACCCAGGGCATCTGAATCCTGGTCTTGGACTCTTCCCTCAGAAACATACTGCCTTCCTTTTGCTGGTCTGGCCAGTAGATCTATACTAAAGATACAGGCCTCTCAAACTGAATGGGAGATTTGGAATTATAGGGACCTGAAGCAGTTAATGGAGGAGTGTTGTAGTAAAACATGTTTCATAGTCTATTTAGTCTAGGAGCTGGAGTATTCCAAATAGCAACTCCTAATTAATTTTTTACTCCTGTGTTGAGTTAATATCTAGAATATACTCTTGACAGCTCTAGAGCAAAAAGCCAGGTCTCCAACAAAAGAATGAGTACTAATTGGGAAATAAATCAGCTTGCTATAGCTAAAAGGAAAAAACTCCCACAAATTCATCTGTCATTTTTATTTGTTCTTTCATCGTTTGTAGTACATTTTCAGGGTCTCAAAGAAAGTCATCTGTCTATGCAGGTGCTCATGGAAGCATCTTGTTTTACATATGATGAAAATGGAGAGAGCACTTCTTTTGACAGGAAACTTCACTTCTTGTTACTGAAAACCATCACAACAGTCATTATGTCTGGCTTTCAGAGATTTCCTGGAGTTAGGAGAACAATAGACAGTTAAAATGGCAATGTCAAGAGCATTCTGGGGTTTTATAATGAGTACCAAGGGAAATTTTTTTCTCTTGAGTTTGTAAGAAAAAAGTAGGAGGAATATTTGGAAACCTGAGGATATGTGGAAATGAAGGTGAATGCTCTATTTTTTTTAATAGAGTGTTCTTCCTGACCTTTGGAAGCTGAAAAAATATATATTTTATATGTCACTGAGTTGCTAGTGAAAAAGAGAAGTTTCTCTTCGGTTGTCCCTCTCTGTAGGTTAAATCATCCCCTGAAAAGACACATTTGCAGCTTTCTGTATTTTTCTTTGATTAAACATCATTTAGAGTTCTTCATTCAGTTTTCTTCTTCTTCTTACATATGTACACTGCTTCTAGGGCTTATGATTTCTAATTTAGCAGCAGGAGTTACTTCTCTTTTCCCTCTACCTCCAAAAAAAGATGACTCAAGCATTAGGAATATGTTTTTTGGCTTATTGTATAATTCAAATGTGTATTTGTAGTTATTCTATTTTTAATCTTAATTTACATAGCCCTAATATGATTTCTAATTTCTAATAAAGTTTTTGAGGTACTAATGTCTAACGCACTAAAAGTACAAACTTCATAAACAATTTATGTGACCTGCTGTTTTCATTTCTGAAGTTTCTTGCTTGCTGCTAGAGCTGTGGATGATTTTAAAGATCCCTGTATTAGTTACACATGGATCCCTGAATGGTAAAAATAACCTGCTATCTTTATTTATTTTTTTTTTTTGGAATATCTAGTAATACAAAGGCAATTATCAATTATTAACATGTTTTAAATATATGAGTAGAACATTCCTTGTTTTAAAAATTAGTAAACATTTTAAGATGCTATAAGGTAGAAAGAAAAGTCTTCCTTCCTTTTGTCTCAATCCTAAATATCATTCCTTAAAGGTAACCACTGTTAAGTCTCTGCAAATTCTACCAGAAATGACCTAATGTTCTATTTGTATACAAGCATACATACACATATACGTAATACCTATACACATATAACACACATCTATGATTATATGTGTATATATGAATACATATATGTCATGCCATATATTAGCAATATAGCTTGGACATCTGTTCACATCAGTACATATATATCCATCTCATTTTTAATGACTATATTGTATTCCATTGCAATGGTTAATTTAGCTTACCTTCTGTTTTTTGACATTTAGGTTTTTCCAGTTTTATCTTATTGCAGACAATGCTGCAATAAATATTCTTGAATATATCTTTTTGCATTTTTATAAATATATTTGTAGGATACAGTCAAAGCAAGGGAATGATTGGTTAAAAAAAAAAGTGTGTCCATTTTTAGCATCACTAAATATTGCCAATTGTCCTCCAAAATGACTGCCCTAATTTATACTTTCATCAACAGTGTATAAGAATGTCGTGTTTCTCCACACCCTTGTCAACACTGAATGTGACAAAAATTTTAGTTTATAAATATAATCAGTAAAAATAGTATCTCATTTTAATTGTCTATTGCTGCTATATTTAAGGTTCACTTGAGCAAATGCCTACCGAGCACTTACTCTGTGTCATTGAAATGGCAAATGGCAATCAAAAATTGTACTTGTCCTTAAGGAGCCATGGAAGTGAATAAGAAGCCTCTTTTTAGAAGAAATTTAAACATTGCAAAGATAGAAAAGTGGGTCTTTTGCACCCTACGAACAGGAAATAGTTGTCTAATAAAGATAGTGTCCACCCATGTCAACTTTCAGTTCTATTGCTGGCCTAAATTGGCAACTCTCTGCTTCTGCAACAGTGACCTTGCTTTCATTTTGGAAGATAGTTGGCTGCAGGTAGGAGTAGAAATGCCTATCTAGTAGCTTTTGTTTTTCTCCAGGACCTGACTTGATTATCTCACTGGTTGCTTTTAAGAGAAAGCACCCACTGTTGGCTTCTGTTCTGAAAGGGCACCAGGCAAGCATGGAAACCTATCAGCAGAGCAAGCCAAAAGCGCAATAAACTGTTTATTCATTGTTCAAGATTCTTCACCTGTGTGGATTATTAGAAGTATGTCATCTTAGAGTACCCAGGTTAGATTATAGACACTTCAAGTATTTCTTTAGAATTCACCGAGGGGGAAAAAAATAGGGAAAACAGCATCAGTCGTTTGCGACCATGTTGGTTCCTGATGCTAAAATAATCTATATGAATAAACTACATTCTGTAAATTGAAATATCTGGTTTCCAGCCTGTTAAATAAAAACAGGAGGATCTGAAGTACATTGCAAAATGGGATAAGCTTGGTTTTCTGAGTGGAGGCAGCTATTGATAATTTTACTTTCTTATAGCTGAAGGTGAAGGAGATTTGAGGCTCTCTGAGAATTACAGTTCCCCTGGAGTTAGCCCAAGGTGGGACCCTCAGAGCTGTCTACTCTCGTGCCATTGCCTCAAGCCTGTGGACATTTTTTCACCTTGGGGTAAGAAGCAGCTCCAGTTTGCACAATTGCTGTGTGTGTTCCAGGCGAGTGACCAATGAGGCTGACTTGGCAGCTGCCCTTCCCACAGCCAGCCAGCCAGTCCCAAGTGTGTTTTAAAAGATAAGCAACAAAAAGCCAACACTTTTAGAGAGGCTGGAACAGGCTAGTAGTTGCTAGGCAAGTTAAAGTAATTCAGTGTCCTTGCCAAACGTCTGCCATGCAAATAGGGAACTTTCAGGGAAGGAGAGTGAGATGGTGGTGTGTGTTGGTTGCCATAGGAATGTTTCCCTGATTGGAACAAGACCACAGAGTGAGGAGAGCAAGACGGCAACATCTACGGTGATTTCTGCTTGGGAATGGGAACCCAGAGTGGGCAGTGGAGCGGAGGCAAGCCATGCAGAGGCAGGAGCAGATGAGACCCTAGATGCCATGTGAAGCTAAAAACGTGGGGAACAGAAAGAGTAGATCAACTCAGGAAAATTATATGGGGAGCTCTTATGCTACTCTGAAGATCTGAGACTTGGAGAATTTACAATCCCGAATTAACTCAGGGAAAATTCCAACTAGACTCTGAAATGAATTAGATGGAGATTTAAAATAGGGCAATTTAGTAGGAAAAGATACTTAATTTGAAGGTAGGTATTTTGTGTTTATGCAAATATTATGTCAGATTGTCTTTATTTTAGCTGTTAAAGGTACTAATTAAATATTTGTTAATGAATTATAGTGCTGTATTTATCAAGTTCTGATTTACAGGGTAAAAGCACAGTTGACCAAATTGTGTGAAACCTTGAACCTCAGACCCTCTGACATGGGCTTACTGCTGCATTAACACCCTGTGCATCTGGTGGTAGCTTCCAAAATGATAGCTGAGGGTCTGAGTCGAAATAAATGGCTTTTAGCAAGTGTTGAACTTTGAATGTGCTATTTAACCTCTGATTAATTGATTACTCAGCTCTGAATATGAGAGGTGTATAGCTATCCCTTATCTCACTTAAATGATTTGAGCATGGATGCTCTTCTCATTTGAATACAGTTTTTGGGGTGGGTGGGGGTGATATCAGATCCCAGGGTACATGCTATGATAATGACAGGCTTAATTATCATTCAGTATGGTTTAGGACAAAGGTTTTCTTTTGATCACAATATTAAGAAACCTTTCTTTAACAGATAGTTTTACTTGTACATATGAAGTATATATATAAATTTATCATTTCCTATATATTTGATTCACGTTCAGAGGGTATTTAAAATAGTATCTTCTTCAGAATGTATATGTTGGGATTATATATTACTGTTTCTTTCCTTTTTATGTAGTTTCTTTTTGTGGTCAGGTAAAAGAAGACTAAAGGGATGTGATATTTAGTCTTAAATATTTGAAATATAGTCACTGTTCTGTTTCAGGGCTGTTTCCCTCTATCAATTCCTTTGATATGGAACTCCAATGTCATTTTTACTTTGCAATTGATCACATGCTGGCTCACTGACATCAATTAACTAATCTGAGGCAAATTTTTAAACGAAATGCCAAATTTTAATTTACTGAGAGAATATAATCTAATAAGAAAGACTACCCTTGGGCTCTTCACATGGTGAACCCTAGTGTGGTTTTGATAAAGAAGCCCAAGTATATACTAACTATAATCTTTTCTTAAAAAAAAGTGGTGTTCTTATCTAGACCCTCCAGAATCTAGAGTAGCATCGTCCAATAAAAATGTAATATAAACCTCAAGTATGAGCTTTATATGTAATTTTAAATGTTCTAATAGCCACTTTAAAAATGAAATGTGAAATTAATTTTAGCTCTACATTTTATGTTGCTTAATATATGCAGCATATTATTTCAACATGTACAGTTGACCCTTGGTATCCATGGAGAATTGGTTCCAGGACTGCCCACAGATACCGAAATCTGTGGATGCCCAAGTCCCTTGTATAAAATGATGAGGTATTTGCATATAACATGTGCATATCCTCCCATATATTTTAAATCATCTTTAGATAACTTAAAATACCTAATACAATGTGAATGCTATGTAAATAATTGTTGTACTGTATTATCTATATTGTTTTTTGTTTTTTATTAATTTTTTAAAAATATTTTTACTTGGCAGTTGGTTGCATATGCAGAACCCATGGATATGGAGGGTTGACTGTAACTAATATAATGAATTATTAATGAGATATTTTGTATTTTTAAAATACAAAGTCTTGAAAGTCCAATTGAGATGTGCTGTAAGCATATTTTACACTTATAGCACATCTCAACTGGGACACTGAGGTTTCATGGACAGTACTTGATCTGTACTTAAATTAAAACTTACAGTAGAAAAAATAGATTCACATACCCAAGTCATTCCAAACATGCAAATCAGTTGTCCAGTAACTGAATCGGTGTCCATTTCTAAATTTAAATTTAACTTTAATTAAAATTAAATAAAATTTAAAGTAAAATTCAATTCCTGATTGACACTAGCAATATTTTAAGCACTCAGTAACCACCTGTGGAGTGGCTGCCATGTTGTGTTGGACAGCACAGAAAGGACTGCTTTCTCTAGCCTTTTCCTTCACTCCTGCATGTCTCAGATGGGAAGACTTGTGTGAGACCTCTGATGGGAAGAGAATCTCATTTTGAAAGTGTGGAACCACAGACAAAGAGTTGACTTTCTTAAAAAGAAGTTTCCATTCAGGCTATATTAGAACCTGCCTGGCAAGGAGTTATCTGTCTAATATACCACATTATCTCCACCCTTGTTCCTAAATACACCCCTCATTGTCTCCCCAACAGATAAAAATATGCCAACCTTGTGTCAAGGTTGCCTCCCTCATCCCCTTGTCCTCCACTGCAGGCTGGCTCATTTCCATTACATCAGTGTATTTCCTGGTTATAGGCCTCCTTTCTCATTGTTTCAGTTTCCACATTTGGCCTTAATTTCTATGATACCTCAGTGAAGCATTCAAATGTTTAAATTCCAATTTAGTTCTTAATTAAGGTCATGTATATCAAAGTCAATGTTATGTTAATTTGGATAACAGACATTTCCTTTGTCCCTTGCTCCAGATTTCTAGAGTGGCTGGGCTGAGAAACTTTACTTCCTGTTCACCTAGGTAGGTATCTTGCTTTGGGCATATCGGGATTCTTGAATATAATCTCTCTGTGGTGAATCAGTCAGACCTGTGAACCTTAAAGAACTTATCTGTTCCCTGGAGAGGAAGAATTAAGCAATACTAATATCAGGTGGATGGATAAAGACTTAGCCCTGCCAGAAGTTTTGCCCCACACCTTTGCTTGGGTCTGAAACTTGGTTGGCACATAGTATAACAGTAACTTTGTCACCCATAGGTTAAAGAGCCCAGAAGCCTGTCATTTTCTGTTGGGTACCTGGCATTTGCAAACGACATCACTGATGATAAAATTCATCCACTCTGTTTTGAATATATCAAGTGAAAAGCACTTACATTGCTTTTTCAGGTCTGGAGAATGATGACCTAAGGATGGGCCCTTGTCCAAGACAGTTACAAGTTCCCCCTTCATAGGAAACTTAGCTTGGAAATTAGGAAATAAATATTTGACCCGTTGAATCAATTTAAATTAACCTGAATAGAAATACATATTGTGCTCCTTCCTTATTACCATCCGAATCAAATTATTTTAGAGACAGGTAAGGCTTTGTAGAAAGAGGATCTATACTGCCTGTAAACCTTGGATGCCAGTCCCAAGTCTGTTGGCTGCGAGGGCTGTGACACGAAGAAAGCCATTAAGTTGTTCTTGGCGTCACTTCTCACCTGTCAAGTGAGAGCACTGGACTACAGCTAGTGCTCGACTTACGACCACGATTGGTTCCGACAGACCGGTTGTAACACGATTTGGTCGTAAGTTGAGTAGGCTATATGTACAGTACTGTGAAATGATGTTATAAAAATCTTTAAGTCATATTTTATCATAATTTTCTTTCATTATTGTTATATATCATAATTTTCTTTGTTCATTTTATGCCATTTGTATCATCTCTACACCATTTTGTTTCTTATTTTTACATTCATCAGGTTTAAGTAAAACACTGCATTACCAGTACAACTGGTTTAATATTTGCAAAACATACAAAATTACAAAATACAGGTGCATACAAAAATACAAAATACAGGTGTAAAAAATACCATAGGAAACATTTTCCCAATTGCAAAACATATCAAAATATATAAACATGTACGAAACATTTTATTGGCCGCTGGTGCTTGGCTGCGGATTGTTGATGTCATCATCTGAGGCAGCAGTTGGGGTTACCGGAGTTGGTTTTTTCATAAACATGGTGAGCTTTGTTTGAATTGTATGCTGCTTTTTTTCTTCATAAATTTCACGATAGGGACGAAACACATTGTGTGCCATCCATTCAATCCTTGCAAATTGTTCGATGTTTGGGTCCATTGCTTCGAAATGTATAAGAAGTTTATTCAGTAAAGATAAACCGTCTGATAATTCCTTAGTGGTGAACTTTCTTTCTGGCTCCTCCTCTTCTTTCTCTGCTTCTCTTCTTTCTTCTTCTGCCACTCTTTCTTCTTCCAGTTCAATTAGCTCTTCATTTATAAGTTCTCCGGATTCTTTGTCTAGCAACTCTTCGACATCTTCCATTTCACACTCCAAAGAAAGGTCTTTAGCAAGTTTTACTATGCTTTTGGCCTCTTTGTGAATATAAGTGCGTGCTGGCATCCGCTTCCAAAATAACCCAGTTTCATCAACATTGAAAATCTGTTCTGCTATGTTCCTCATCTGTAATTAATTCATCCAGACTATCAACAAACTTATGTGCTCCTTCCTCATCTGCACTCGCTGCTTCTCCAGTCACTGGAACACTATGCATTTGGAATCTTTTCTTGAATCTCTGGAACCAGCCAGTGCTTGCTACAAATTCTTGACTGTAATCTTCTCCAGCATGCTCCTTCAGAGTCTGAAATAGACTTCTCGCCTTCATCTGCACAGTAGAAAGACTTAATGGTGTCCGTTTTTGAATTTGATCTTCCATCCAAATATATAGCAATTTCTCCATTTCGTGGATGGGCCTGCTTCGTTGCTTTAACTGTTGATCGCATGGGTGCAGAACCTTTCACAGCTTCACGAATTCTTTATCTTTCAAAATCGTCGACACAGTCGAGTGTGATAACTTTGTATCACGTGCGATCACATTCACTTTCTTTCCTCCTTCGTACTGCTTAATTACCTTCATTTTCGTGTCGAGATCAATGGCCTTTCTTTCCTTCTTAGCAGGCTGAGGTGTAGACAAAGACAATTTCCTCTTGGTAGACATCTTGGGAGGGGTTTGATGAAAAATATCCAAGACACAAAACACAAATTGCTGTACCGAGTCTGGGATAACAGTTGAAATGGTGCACGCAGAGATGGTAGTGCTGCCGGAAGCTGGTCTGCACTGTCGTACGCCCAGCTGGGCAACGTTTGTGCTGCCAGACGCGGAGCAGTCGTGGCTAGCGATTGTGATCGTAAAGTTGAATGCTCGTAAGTTGCATAGGTCATAAGTCGATCAATATCTGTAGATGATCTTAAGGCCTTTTGGTCATCACATGGTTTGATCATCTACTCTAATCTCATAGTTTCTTGGGTGAAAAAACAAAGGCCTGCAAAATTGCTTTCTAAGATCCCATAGCAAATGTGAGGCAGGTCTTAGGTTCTTAGTCACATGCTTTGTCTACTTCAGGAAGCTTCATTGTTCACTTAGAGGTTAGGCTTGAACCAAATAAAAATATCCAGAGGGATAGCTGATTCTCTGTTCTTCCCATAATGTCACTTTGTCTGCTCATATTGAGGTTGTTGGCCAAACATCTAAAATCCATAGGTTACCTGTTAATTTTTTGCTTCCTTAATATAGCTGGCCAGTAATTCAGGTCAGATACTTCTCTGGGATAAAGTTTCCAATGACCTCCTATTTCAAATAAAACAGGCTGGACGCAGTGGCTCATGCCTGTAATTCCAGCACTTTCGGAGGCTGAGGTGAGTGGATCATTTGAGGTCAAGAGTTTGAGAACAGCCTGGTCAACATGGTTAAACCCTGTCTCTACCAAAACTACAAAAATTAGCCAGGTGTGGTGGTGTGTACCTGTAATCCCAGCTATTCAGGAGGCGGAGGCACTAGAATCTCTTGAACCTGGGAGACCGGGGCTACAGTGAGCTGCGATTGCACAGCTGCACTCCAGCCTGGGTGACATAGCAAGACTCCACCCTGCTTCTCTCCAGAAATAAAACAAAATGAAACACTACATTAGTTCTTTGCTGGTGAAGATGCATGATAACAAAAGAAAAAGCAGTAGCTGGGATGCAGAGTTAAATTTGCTCAAATATTTTCCATTAAAACGGTAACTACAATAAACAGTGAAAACCAGAGAGGGCCCCAGTAGCTGCTCTCGTTGAAGTTTCCAGTGTAGGTTAGAGGCCCACTTCCAAGTGTTGGAGTATCACTCATGGACAGGAAGCAGAACCTGACTTTCTTGGGAAGGCTGCTTTTAGCTGGGGCAAACCCAGGGACTTTCATTCTTCTTTAGCCTGTCATTCAATGAAAAAGGCCAAGAGTGCCAAGGAAAAGAAACTTGTTGATTGTCTATTATATACAAGGCCTTCTAAGTATTTTAAATATAATGGCTCATTTAATTCTGTAACTACCCTGTAAATAGATGGGCATTATTTCCGTTTTACAGATCAATAAAAGTTATGTAGCTTGTCTAGGGTTACACAGTAAGTGATCAGGGATTCTATTTAGCTCTAAAATCTGATTGTTTTCCACTAATAGCCAGTAGCAGATAATAATATGTAGACCCCAGTGATTTCATTTCAGTTCCACTGAATTTGAAGACACCTGATATCAATGTGTAGGCACCAACATAAATTACAGCCTAAAATTAGAGGTGGATACAGTAATTGAGTAAATTTTGTTAAGAAGCAGGAATTATTAACCTGCATCATAGACCCTTTGAAGACCTTAAAAGCAAAAATATTAAAGGGTTTTTTTGCAATTGACACATTTACATACATATCCACTAATCAGCATTGTTGGTGAGTAACAAAAGGTGTGTGAATCCTAGGTCAAATTTAACTTTCAGAGGTGGTGCTTGCTGCTTTTGGGGTAAAATACAGTGCTATCATTTTGGTTTTTAAGTAATCTTGCTGTTTGGGCTTGTGGCTCTTTTATCCTTTGGGTCGATGAGGGGATGATATTTGTAATCAGTGTCCCTCCTACAGACATGGCAACTGTTCCAGTTAATTGGTGCTGCATGACAAACCAATCCAAAACTTAATGTCAGCCACAACCATGTGTATTTGACTCATGAATCTGCAATCTCGCCAGGGCTCAGCAGGGACAACTCATCTGTGCTCCATTCAGCTTCATCTGGGTTGGCCTAGAGACTGGAGGTTGGAATCATCTGAAGCTAGCCCACTTAATGTCTGGTGCCTAGCTGGGAAGACTAGAACAGCTGGGCTCCTCAGGCATCTCTGTGGTCTCTCCAGCATGATAGCTTCAGGGTATACAGAATTCTGTACCAGTTCACTGCTCAGCATATGACTCTAGAAAGAAAGACAGGAACATTTCGTGATCTACCTTAGAAAATCAGACAGCATCACTCTACAATGTTCTATTAAATTGGGGCAGTTACTAAGGCCACTTAGATTCCATGGGAGTAGAAATAGATTCCATCTATTGATAGGGAAGTGAAAAGTTTCTGGAAGAGCCTTGCAGTGGCCAGACTGCTACACAGATGTAGGAGGTTGCAGGTAATGTGCTAGTGCCCAAACCAGATGCATCTCTGGGCCTTTCTCTCTGACAGAGAATTAGGTATCCCTCTGGATATTTATAGTTGGTTCAAGGTTAACCCAAGGGAGTATATTGGCATGCAAATGGAATATAATCTATTCATTATAATTTAACCAACATAATTAGTACTTTTCAAGAAAATCATTTGAGAATTTGTGACACTTTACTGTTAGAAACAGATTACTTATGAAACACCAGTGGTTTAGGCCAATAAGATACATAGTTGAGTCTTTCCCTAAATTTTTCATCATTTTTGAGCTGGTGTCTGTTTAGTGTTCCTGAATTGTCATTAGA